TAGCCTGAAATCAAGATGTCACAGCAGAACAGGTAGATGGGAGTTTCGATCCTGGCTGTGCCATGGTAAGCCAAGTGGCCCCCGTCTCCTGCTTCCTGCCTTCAAACTGGAGGTGGTATGCCTGACCTTTTAAATCTATTATGCTAACTGAGCGAGATGAGAAATGCCGTGCACAGACATGGTCCTTCCCCGTGATGGACAGTGAGGGTACAGCGATGGGGTGAAGATGACTGTTACAGTTTGGATGTGACATGCCTGTCTCCTCCACCTAAAACAGGCTATGTGTCAAACAAAGATGTAGTCCTCAGCTGGTGGCACAATTGTTTTTTGTTTGTTTGTTTGTTTGTTTTTTTAAGACAGAGTCTTAAATAGCCCAAGCTAGCCTCAAACTCATTCTACCTCCAAGGATGACTTGAACGTCTGATTCTTCAGTCTGCACCTGAGATTATGGGCATATGCCGCCACACTCAATTTCATACTGGTACTAGGACTCGAACCCAGGGCTTGGTGCATGCCAGACAGTCACTCTACCCACTGAGCCACATCCCCAGCTGAAGGCACTAATGAGAAGTGACTTCTGCGCTTTATGGTGCTGGCTTTACCAGTGAGTTAATCCACCAATGACTTTAGGCTATTAGGAGGCTATTAGGTTAATGGGGTATTAGGAGTAGGGCCTGGTTGGATAAGCAGGTTACTGGGAGTGTGCCTTAAGGGGATGTCCCTTCTTCCCTGTCCCTCTCTCCACTACTAGATGAGACACTTTGATCCATCATGCACTTGCCACAGGCAAGGAAGCAACTGGACAAAAGCCAGATCCCCAGCAGAGGGCCTCTTGGCAGCCTGGAAATGACCATCCCACCAAGGGGACTCAGGGCGGAAACGACGGATATAAGGTGGACACCCACAGCGTCTCTTGTTACCTTTCCACGCCTGTGTTTTCTTGTTTGAAAAATGGGAAGGCAGTTTTCTCTTCTGGAAATAGATAGTAAGGCACATTCCACTGGAGGATTAAAGAGAGAAGAAAAAAAATCCCAGAAGTTCCTAACAACACAGGTGACACATGGTAAATCACTGACTGATAGATGTGCTTGGATTCAGCTGGGACACTGCCTTCTTGAACGTGAGGGTCAGGTGGCCACAGCATCAGTCTCTCTCTTGATCACCAACGTTGATTCATCTGATCTGGCTGGTGTTGCCTTCCTCTGTCACTACTCCATGTGTGTCCCTCCCTACGCTGAAAGTTCCATTGAAAAGGAACATATGAGCTGGTTGGTGGTGGCACACACCTTTAATCCCAGCACTCCGGAGGCAGAAGCTGGCATCCTTTGGGTTGGAGGACAGTCTGGTCTACGAGAGACCCTATCTTGAAAAACCAAAAAAATAAAAAATAAAAAATAAAGAAAGAAAGAAAGAAACATCCCCAATAGAAGACCACTCTTTGGTCAAGGGTATGTGGGCAGGGGGCTGGAGAGATGGCTGGTTGGTTAAGAGCCGTCTCCCTGGTTCCCCCGATTTTTAAAAAAGATTATTTTATATGCATGGGTGCACGTATGTAAGTGCACCATGTGTGTGCGCACCTTGTACCTAAAGAGGCCAGAGAGGGAGTCAGATTCCCTGGATTATTAGGCTGGTCATAGCATCATGTGCCAGTGATCCCAGCCCTCAGTAGATAGAGGGAAGAGGAGTGCAAATTTGAGGCTAGCCTGAGCTACACAGTAAAACCTCTCTCAAAAAACAAAAACAAGATTAATATCTTACTACATACTAATTTCACCTGGATTTTAGAAGGTAGTGTCCTAATTCAGCAAGGAGGAAGAAAATGGAATCCAAAGTTGTTCATTCAAATACCAGCTAAATCTGGGGTGAATGATCAGTGCCAGCAAGACCATGGGCACCAAGGTGAAGACCAGCAAAGACCTCAGCTTATTTGGGAAGCAGAGGCACAGTCTACCTTAGGCATATTATACTGTTACAATCTCTGATCACAAAACACATAGTGGGTAAGATAGCAATCTGCTAATATTTGCCTTTTTTTCTTATTGGACAAAGAGACAAAGAGCAGCTTTTTTTTTTTTTTTTTTGGTTTTTACGAGACAGGGTTTCTCTGTATTGTTTCAGAGGCTATCGGTCCAGCCCGGCCTCGAACTCACAGAGATCTGCCTGCCTCTGCCTCCTGAGTGCTGGGATTAAAGGTGTGCGCCACCACCGCCTGGCCAGAGCAGCTTTTTATATGTTACTGATCCAATCTCCTTCAACCTGGAGAAGGCACAAGGGAAAGGCTGGCTTGGTAGCTGACTTGAGGGAATCCTACGTTCTTGGAGGTCAGCACTCCTAGCTGGAGAGTAGATGATGGAAATACATCCTTCCAGCCCCTCCTCTCATGACCAGGAGACCCTGTGTTGTCATGAGTGTTCTGGGCCAGCAGCACAGCCTGGATTAATTGGCCAAGAGATCCTTCTCCAGTCCACACTAAAATTTTTATGTTCTAGCCGGGCGGTGGTAGCACACACTTTTAATCCCAGCACTCAGGAGGCAGAGGCAGGTGGATCTGAGTTGAGACCAACCTGGTCTACAGCGTGAGTTCCAGGACAAGTTCCAATGCTACAGAGAAACCCTGTCTCAAAAAACCAAAAAACTTTTTTTCTCATAATTTTAAATTTTTTCTTTTCTTTTCTTTTCTTTTCTTTTTTTTTGAGACAGGGTTTCTCTGTATTGCTTTGGAGGCTGTCCTGGCACTCGCTCTGTAGACCAGACTGGCTTCAAACTCACAGAGTTCCACCTTCCTCTGCCTCCTGAGTGCTGGGATTAAGGGCGTGTGCCACCAACACCTGGCTGAGAAAAAAAAATTGTGTTCTGTATCCACCACTACCAACCACAGCTTTGAATTTGCAGCTTAATGTATTGCTGTTATCTCTCTTCTGGTGGCCTTATTGTGGATCCTGGGAGGATGGTGGTGGTGATATGTTTCAGGAGGAGAAATGAACCCAGAGAGACCTAAAGGAGGATTCAAGACACTGGTGGCTTGATGGGACATGCAGATCACAGATCTAGGACCATTGACCTCCAGAAGCTCAGTTTGTTGGCACATAACTTTAATGCCAGTACTGGGGAGGCAGAGCCAGGCAGATCTGTGGTGATATTTTGTTTGTAATCTAACAAATAAAGCTTGCCTGAAGATCAGAGTGCGGCGCTAAGCCACTAGTTAGCCATAGAGGCCAGGCAGTGGTAGCTCACAGCTTTAATATCAGAACTTGGGAGGCAGAGGCTGAGGCAGAGGCAGACGGATCTGTGTGAGTTCAAGACCACCCTGGGCTACAGAGTGAGACAGGTGGTGGTGGCTCACACCTTTAATCCCAGTACCTGGGAGTCACACAACTTTAATTCCAGGCCCAAGGAAGGTGAAGACAGGAAGGGATGTGACTGGGCAGAGAGAGGGTACTAAACAGGGAGGAGAGAATGCATGAGGTTTTGCAGAGTCAGGATCGCCCCTTTGGTCTGAGGATTAAGTAGAGGTAAGAACTGGTGGCTGGATATTCTGCTTCTCTGATCTTTCAACATTTACCCCTATATCTGATTCTGGGTTTTTACGATTGGAACCAGTTAGAATTTTCACTACACAGATCTCTGAGTTCAAGGCCTGCCTGGTCTACAGAGTGAGTTCCAGGACAACCAGGACTACAGTCTTGAAAAACAATTCAAAACAAACCAACCAACAAAAAAGACCTTCATCTTTGTTGATGCTATAAGGTGGAAGTAAGCCCCCCAGCAAGAAGTCTGTCGATGTTCCGCTGCCTGAGGAGAGGCAGAGGTCCGTTGGGACCATGGGAGTCATGAAAGTGTCTTGGAGAGTGAGCCTTAGAAGCAGGACCAGAGCAGAGGGCCCACCAGGCGGGGCAGAGCACTTCAGGATACCAGAATGTCTGGTCAAGCTAAAGAGTGGAGGGAGCAAGAGAACTCAAGGCGTCCTTAGGCTGCTGGGGTATTCACTGGATGTAGCTGCGGCCGGGCAGGTAGAGGGACTGAATGAAAACACACTGGTGGACTCAGAGAGCACTTAAATGCCAGGGTAAGAAACTGGGACCTCATCTAGTAGGTTGTAAAGAACTGTTGAGTATTTTTAGTTGTGTGTGTGGTGGTGGTGGGATTTTGACAGTCTCACTATATGGTCTAGGCCTGACCTCTGTGTCCTAAATACTGGGGTTATAGACATGTACCCAAACACCCATGGTTTTTAAGCTCATGGAAGATCCAGTCTTTAATGACATTGGACCTTCTATTCCAGCCCTCACATCCTGGCTCTGTAAGATTGAACTCAACGTTGTCTCTTCTGAAATCTGCACACTCCCTGTACTAAGTCCTTCCTTTTGTCCTCATCCTGTAAGCATCTTGAGACACAGTTCCCTTCCCCCTAGCTTGGGCGAGTGCTTTTTAAGGCTCCCATACTCCCCGTGGCTCTCCTACCCCTGTCTGAATTCTGCTGGATAGTGAATTTTTGGACCCTCGTTCATCAGTGTGTGTCTCCAAAAACCCAGCACAGGGCACTCAAATGGAGGTGAATAGAGGAAGAGGGGTTGAGATGTGGATCCCCAGATCTCTCGGGTTCCTCCCTGTTCTCAGCTAAGTGAGTCCCTTGAGAACAATGGAAAATTCCAGGTGTCAACAGGGGCCCTGGACCGCAAGAGATGTGACGTCAACTTAAACAATCAGTCTCATATTTTTACAGGAAACAACATCTATAAGAACGGAAAACAACCTCCCATCTCCACATCTTCCTGAGAACAAAGTGAAGCAGGGTGAGGACCAGTGAGGCGGAGGGTTACTTTCCAGTATTATAACCTTCCGCTAGAGCCGTGTCACCGCGGCTGCTGCTCCTCAAACCACCAGGGGGAGCAATCTCACCGCATCCCAGGTCTTGGCTGGTGCACGCATCCAAGGGTGTAGTCAGAAATTCTGGGAATTACAGTCCTGGGATGTCAAGGCGCCGTCTCTCGCGGTCGCCCAGGGACTTGTAGTTTAACACCTAGGGGCAGATCATAGGTTTAAGCTCCCATGTTAAATGAAAGGAACTACTACTCCCAGAGGGCCACGGGCTCCTGGGCGGTGTCGGGTTTCCGTCGAGCGATCTTTCTGAGATTGCTTCTGAGTGATCAGCGTGACTGGGTAAGTTTAATTGACGAAAGCTGCAGTTCTCAACTGAGCTATCTAGAGACCTTTTCATGTCCCAGCGTGGGGCCTTCCAGTCTCTCAATCTCAGAATCTGCCCGCTAATCTATGCTCTTCTTTGTCTGTGTTTCCCATTCAGACAAGTCCCGTCAGAATCCGCCCCGCACCTAAGCCCTCCCAGGGTCACCACGAACTGTCACTCCCACGCCCCGAGATCCCCTCCCTGACCCGCACCCCAGCCCCACGTCCCTCAGCCCCTGCTGCTTTCTGTCCTCCACGCTGCGCTCCGCAATTCTTTGTCCTGTTGGTGGAAGAAGACTGCCAATTTCTTCCTCCCAGTGTTGTGAACTTGAAGTGCAGCAAAGAACTCCGCCTCCCTCCCCGCGACCTTGGGCAAATCGCACAGGCTCTCTGGGATTCGCTTTCTTCTTCTGTATTACAGTGTATGAAAGCGCTTTGTAAACTGCGAGGCCTCCACAAGCAACAGAGGCTCCCTTTGTGCCATGCGTTGGTGCCCTAGGACATTCTTATCAGGGCAGCTTTTCTAGCTTTGCCGCCTCGTTGCTCAATCCGGTCCCTTGAGCTCTTGATGTCTTCATCATCTAAGACCGGGTTATTTCTTCACTTCCTCCAGAGACCAAAGATCAGTCAGGCCCCGAGCCCATAGCCTCCGGAGAGCTTTGTCTGAAAGCAAGCCCAAGAGGGGTGCTTATCTTGGACTCTGGCCTGAAATAGCCGGTGATGAAAAGTTCACAGGGCAGGCAGAGGGGCAGAGCCGCCCGCTAGAAGCAGGACTCCAGGGGGTCAGCGCTGCAAGGGAAGCGTCTTCCTTTCCCTTTGGGCTCTTCTGGGCCTCCTTAGTGCACTTAGGTAGGTGTGTCTCGGGCTTGAAAAGCCTGAGAGAGAATTCATTTTGCCAAAGGAATCTATGCCAGGAAAAATGGAAAACTTCAGCTGGGTATTTTGAAAGCGAGCCACCACATTTTTCCGATTAGTTGCTGATGTTTTAGGAGTAATTACAATGTACCAGGCCTTAGGCAGAATCAATTTTCTCCTTTAAACTTCTTTTGTGAAGTGATCCTGTTTCACATGGACGGAAGCTAGACGTGGAGCAGTCATATAGTTAGTTAAAATAGTTACAGCTGCCTCTGGAAGCCACAGTGTCTTCAATGTGCCGGACACTTTACACACATAATCTTTGACCCCATGAGTGGCTGATAACAGGGTTAGAGTTTAAGGCGTTTGTTGAAGGTTTCACAGCTGTGGCTGGCTGGATTGCACAGTGGGTAAAGGCACTGTCATGCCCGGCGACCTGAATGCTATCCCAGGAGCCCACTTGGTGGTTGAAGAGAACCAGCTCCTGCAGGTTGCCCTCTGACTTCCACATGGGGTGCCATGGCACCCCTCCAATAGATAAGTAAATGTTATATGTATATATGTGTGTGTTTAAATATACATAATATATTTAATATAAATAGATAGACAGACAGACAGACAGATAGGTCTCAGCCAGCTGGTAAGTAGTGGAGATGGAATTCAGAGTCACCAGAAGTTTTCTTTTCCCTCTATAGCATAGAGATTTTTTAAATAATCACGACAGATTAAAAGCTAATTGAGCTGGATGTAGGGATACCCGTGGTGAATGTGTGGAGGTCAGAGGGCAGTGGCAGGCAGGGGTGGATTTCTTCTCCTTTCACGGTGTACCTTCTGGGAACTGAACCCTGAACGTCAGACTTGGAGGCAAGCTCCTTTGCCTGCTGAGCCACCCTGCCTCCACTGCCCCATGTGTTTCTGGGTGGCCATGGCGGTTTGCCCAATGAGATGATAGGAGAGTCCATAGGGTGCATTCCGTGTTTGTTACACGCGTGTGACCCTGCGTGTTTGAATGAAAGAAAAGGGCCTCCCTCAGGGGCCTCAAACCCTTCTGACCACACACAGGGAGGACTTAAAACCACCAGCGTGGAGCTGGGAGTGTAGCCTGCAAAGTGCTTGCCTGGCGTTTGAAGGGCTCTAGGCCCCAGAAGACAGACAGACACACAAAAACCACTGCAAATGGAGGAAATACAGTGTTAGGGATTGCAGGGAGACTGGGTGGTAGGTTCAGAAACTCAGATTTCACATGGACTACATGGGGAGCCAGTCACCGAAACTGATACTGCCGGCCTAGGCACTGCACCTCGCAGCCTGTTTGAGGAGGTGAGGCAGGGGACATGCTCAGAGCTGGGAGGAAGGAAGGTGGGAGTCTAGGTGCTTGTCCCGGGGGAGTAGGCAGTCTCACTGGGCCTGGTTGATGGAGATATTCCAGGCAGGCACTGCCATGAATTGTGGAGCCAAGGTGAATAATGGAACACTCCTGACCCGTGCCATTTATGAGAAATAAGACTGATGTCTCATTGTAATTTGCAAGTAAGATTGACTTTTATCTCCTCTCTTGTCCTTGGGCATCAGTCAGCGTGAGCCTGGCAAGTCAGGCTGTTTTCAGGTTAGCCTCAGCCTGGCCAGTTGTTTTGTTTGGTTTTTATTAATTTCCAAGCAGAATTAGCTGATGGGCCCTCTCAGAAGCCTGCCAAGATCACCAGGGTTCTGTATACCCCCACCTCCATGGTGCCCCACCCAAGGACTGATCTCAGATGAGACAAAAATCCCCTTCCACAAAATCCTGGCCATCCATTCCTCAATCCTGCCTCACCTTTGCCCCTCCCTTTCTCCTCTGGTTCCCAAATCTACACAGTTGCCAAATTCTATTGTTTCTGCCTTTCTTGTAGTCAATGAATATGGCTAGATACTCGCTCATGCCAGGTACTATGCAATATGTTTTAATTGCAGGATTTCATTTATCTCCATAGCAACCAAAGACTGTTACAAATCCCCTTATGCAGATGCAGAATGAGGCTTGGAGAGATCAGGATAAAGTGCCCATGCTAGATTGCAAAGGAGCTGAGTGTCAGGCTTGGGGACGGCTTAGTTGCTAAGGTGCTTGTCTCACAGATATGAGGACCTGAGTTCAGATCCTTAGGGAAAACCTGTGTGTGGTGGCACACGGCTTTAGAGACAGAGGCAGATGGATCTCTGAGTTCAAGGCTAGCCTGTGTACATAGCAAGTTTCAGGACAGTCTGGGCTACGTAGAGAGACCCTGCCATTAAAAAAAGGAGAAGCCAGAGGCCAGCGAGGTGGAGAGAGACGCTTGCTGCTAAACATGACTGAGTTTGATCTCTCCTCAAGGTAGGAGAGAAGTGGCTCTCTCAAGCTGTCCTCTGACATCCACAAGCACACTGTCACACATGCACTCCCACACATTAAGTAAATAAAGGTGACTTTAAAAATTACAAAAAAACAACCAAGCCTGACTTGATGGTATGCTGTAATCTCAGTGATGGTGAAATGAGAGGCAGTGGGGTAGCTCGGGGGCGGGTGGGGGGGTGAGGGAGTGTGGGGGGGTGGGAGGGTTGTGCGGTCAAGTTCTAGCTGCCTCAAACAACGAGGAGGGAAGGGGAAGCACATGGACCCAACTCGTGCACGACGACACAAATGCACAGGGGTGTGTACACACACAGCTCTTTGTACACACACAGCCCTTTCTCCCTCACAGCCCTTTGTACACACACAGCCCTTTGTACACACACAGCCCTTTCTCCCTCACAGCCAGCACTGGCTGCCCCTGTGTCTGTCTCACAGGCCCTTTCCTGACCCTTTCTTTTTTTCCCTGCCTTCCCTTGCTCTCTGCTCCCATGCTCAGGAGACACACTCTCTCCTCAGAACCCCAGTGGCATTTTATCTCTCCTCTGTGACAGGGTCTGCATCTGCTTCACCAGCATGTGACCCACGTGTGTCCTGCAGCTGCAGCCTCAGATCTCCAGCGGGTGCCCTCAGCCATGGGGGGGCATGGGTAGGTGGGGGGAGCGGGGAGAGCCTTCGGAGACTCCTCCTCCTTCCCTCTGGCTGAGTAGTCGCTGCCTACAGCCGATCTCAGCTTCCTCCCCCTCCTCTTTGTAATAGTGGGTATCTTCAAGTTTGCACTGGAAAAACAAAAGGGAAAAATGAATAGTAGGAAGAAAATCTCACCTTCCAACGTTATTTAATGAGTGACTTTTGGGGGCTCTGTGGGGTTTTCTTCTGGATGATTGGCAGGCAGGCGGTCTGTGTGTAGAAACAGTTGTGCTGTGACCTTGAGCAGCTCACTGAGTCTCAGGACCTTGACTTTTTCAGTAATGCGCATGTGTGTGTAGAGGTGGGGCGAGGGGAGGTTGCAGGGAGCCTTGGTGGCATCCACCTCTGAGGTCTCTTCTGGCCCAGGCATGCTTTGACTTGCACACTGATCCCCCAAGAGGAGGAATCAGAATATGCCAAAACAAACCATGTGGGCCCAGGACCCTTCCCGTGCCGTTATTTTGGCTATAAGGAATAGGAATAGGAATCTAAATTTAGATACCCCCATAGCTAGGGTAACTCTCTCTGCCTTGGTTCACCCATCTGTAAAATTGGTCCTGGTACCCCCTTCCTCGGAGAGCTGCTGAGAGCTTAGATGGAGCGTGCCTGTAAGGGGCTTAGTACAGCGCTAACAGTGGGAGCACTAGGAAGCACTAGGTCTCAGTGGGTGCTATTAGCCACAGAACAACATCTGGGCTGTGATCACCACAGCTGGATGACACCGTAGGTGCAGGGTTAGCATGTGTTAATCCTGAGGCAGGGCCTCATGCATCCCAGGCTGCCTTTGAACTCTCTGTGTAGCTGAGGGAAGCCGCTGAACTAACCCTCCAGCCACCACCTCCCGAGAGCTGTGGTTATACATGTTTATCACCACACCGGGTTATGTGGTGCTAGGAATTGAACCCAGGGCTTCTTGGATGCTGGGCAAGCATTCTAATAACACGCACGCACGCACGCACCAGACCTTGCGTTTGTCGGTTTTGAGGGAATCGAAGACTAGCTCATCACTACCATCTCCTCACCCCACCAAAAGAAAATGAAGAATTCAGTCCGTGGGACTGGAACATTTTCTAGCACGGGCAGGCCCCTGGGTTCCATCCCACCACCCCCAAACCAACAACCAAGAAGCCAGCCTGTACATGCTAGCAAACAGCAAATGGAAATGGTGCGTGTGGTTTATTGAGTAGCTGTCAGCGAGGCCGGAGTGATAAGGACGTCAGGAAGTGGACAGGGTTGGCACATGACCTAGAGACAAGCAAGCGAGGAAGGGGCCAGCAAGCGGCTGTTCTGTGCTCTGTCTTCCAGCCAGCAAGTTCAGGACACCCGGGCTTTGGTCCAGCTGGTGATGAGATGGGGACCGGCCAGTCTGTGTGCTTTCCAGCCATCTCTGGACCCCACCCTGTTGGCTGCACAGATGCGATGGTGGGTCAGAGTCTTGAGGTAGGTGTCCCAAGCTCCATCCGGCCCCGCACTACGTGCCTTCTGCCCATGTGTGGAGACTTCACCACTATAGGTGTGCAGTTCTGGGGAGCTGGGTTATGGCTGGACTGGGTTTGATTATCAGCCCTTAGGCCTGTCTTCCTGCCTTTTAAAAATTCCTCTTTCAAAATATTAGAATCTTCCCAAATGACAGAGAAACTGAGTTCTTTCTCCAATAAGGAGGCGGTGCCACCGGCTTCAGAGGCCTGTCTGGAGTCGGGCATCTGATCCCTGAAAGGTTTTCTAGCTCATCTTGGTGTAGGCGAGTGGGAGGAGGCACGGGGCCGTGCACACTGTCCTGACGCTACGCCTTGGTGCGAGGGTGGTGTCTTCGTCTCCGGCTTCCATCTGTTTCCCATGTCCTGAACCCCCTACCAGTTTCTAGGCTTCTCTTTTTCTTTGTCTCCTCCTGTTCCTTTGTAAATTTTTTTGAGGCAGGTTTCTCATGTGGCTCAGGCTGGCCTCCAGCTGGAGATGTAGCCAAGGATGACCAGAAATAAGTCCCTGATCCTCCCATCTCTGTGACTCTGGGAATGTGCCACCATGGTCCAGCAGGTTCTTACGATTTTGTCCCTGATGGTTGGACTCTCCTCTGTCCTGTGAGAGATACCCACTTGCTGGTAACCATTCTCCTGTTCCCTTGGGACCAAGCATGTTTCTGCCTCCTGAGAGGCAGCCTGGAAGAGTGGCTTGGGTGACCCACAGCTGCCACCCTGTTCAACCTCAGGGCAAATCCAGTCCCTTTTCACACCAAGCCCGGGCCCACAAACTCTCTTGATGTTTTGGCGCAGTGCTGTCCTGGGATGTCATCTAAAATGCAGCTTGACAAAGGGAAGAGCATAGCTGTATGTTCTATATGCTAACAACAAAATTGTTTCTAGATTTGAGGAAGCCTTGATTCTCTGTGTTGGTGTCCAGTCTGGCTGGTACCTAGATTCCTGCTGACTCACCACGCCCAGGCTTCTTGGCCCAGCAGCTACTCTCTTCTCTTCCCCAGGGGAGCCTCTTCCGACTCTTCTACCCCTGCCAAGCATTGGAGGCAAAGTGCGAGCAGCCCCTGTGGATTCCCCGCTATGAATACTGCTTGGGCCTGGCTGACTACCTGCAATATAACAAGCGCTGGGTCGGGTCGCTGTTCAACCTGGGTATCGGTAAGGCTGGCCTGACCCAGGTACCTTCCTAGTGGCCCATTTATGTCCCCAGGAGAAAGCCAGGCAGACACAGAAATTTTTAACTTGTCCAGTGCAGTCCTTGGTATGGAGAGATGGGAGAGAATTGAATGTGTGAGAATTTGGACCATCAATTCAAATCCACACTTTGTAATTTACTGGGACTTAGGCAAGTCACTTACCCTGCTCGCCTGCCAGCTTTCGTAGACCTGTGGTGCTAGGTGTGGGCAGAGCCTCTAGTGCAGTATTTGGAACATCAGATGTGGTGTGGCTGGGATTCCTAAACCCAGCATGCCCACTCTATAGATCACCCCCCTTTTAGTACTGGGGATCAAACCCAGGGCCTCATAGAGGCTAGGCCAGTGCGAGCCGCCCCACAGCCATAGGGTTTACTGCCACCCCAGCAGCTGTATCAGACATCCTTGGCTCCCAGCGAGCATCTATACTCCTACAGCATGCCCTCTTGGGCTGTTCTCCCTCCCCTGTCCCAAGACCCCACCCCTGGCGTCCCCTCTGACCTTGCCACCTCATCATCTGCCCCAGATTTCTTCAGTACTGCCTCTTTGGATTTTTGTTTCCCCTAGTGGTTCTGGAGAGGGGAGGACCACAAATGCCCATCCCTATCTTTACCCGGGCTGCCCTTGGGATTGCAGTTCCAGGCAGCCAGAGATGCTATAGCCTGTGTCTCTGCCAGGATCTTGTCGCTTGCCTGTTAGCTGGAACGGCCCCTTTAAGACGAAGGAATCTGGATACCCCTTGATCATCTTGTCCCATGGCCTAGGAGGCTTCAGGTAAGCACTTTGTCCCTGGACCTTGCCATAGTCCTTGCGTTGTGAGAGCTGCTGTGTCTTAACATAGTCTCAGAGGGTCCGATAACAGAGGTCTCACCTACCTGCCATCTTACTCCCCATCTGGCCCTTGGCATAGCACTGGCCTGCCTTCCCTAGACCACTATTAAAATATATAAAATAGGAATACAGAGCCGGACGTTGGTGGCACACGCCTTTAATCCCAGCACTCGGGAGGCAGAGGCAGGCGGATCTCTGTGAGTTCGAGGCCAGCCTGGTCTACAGAGCGAATTCCAGGACAGCCTCCAAAGCCACAGAGAAACCCTGTCTCGAAAAACCAAAAAATAAAAAAATAATAAAAAAATAAAATAAAATAGGAATACAGGTCAAGCGTTTGCTGGTAAGAAATCATAAAGACATTGATTTTAAAATAATGATTTGGTGTGCATATCATTTTACCACTCATTAAAAGCAGAAGCTAATTTGCATACTAATGAGATGGATGAACTTGTTCATTTTTGTATAAAGGATGGACTTCAGGCTGAATATTGGATACCATAAGACCTAGAGTATCTTCAGGGTTTTTCACAATTGATTGAGTTTTGGTTTTATAATCATTGATGCTGAGAATGCCACTTTTTATAAATCCATAGTACAAAATGGCAGAAGTATGCTTAGGGCCATTTCAGAAATTAGAAATTCTGTCTTAATCCCAAGCCAAGATCCATTTAACACTGTGTGTGTGTGTGTGTGTGCTCAAATTAGCAACCCAGACATCTGACTTTAAAATTTTTTTTTATTATTTTTAATTATGTGTGTAGATTATATGTCAGCATGTGGGTATGTGCATGTGAGTGCAGGTGCTCACGGAGGCCAAGGGTGTCAGGTCTGGTGGAGCTGAAGTTACAGACAACTATGAGGTACCTGATGTGGGTGCTGGGAATAGAAATCAGTCTTCTATGAGAGCAGCCAGTACGCTAACCATTGAGCCATCTCTCCATCCACCTCAAGGGCCAGTCTTTAAAACTCCAACATTCTAATCCAACCCAATCCAAAAAGAGACTAACTTGACATTTACACATCAGTGTGTGCTGTGTGGTGATACCCTGTCTCAAGAGAAAAGAAGCCCAAATCCGACCTTGCTAGTCCAGTACCTTAAAGAGTGCCTGGCAGATTGAGGTCTCAATAAATATTTGTTGAGCGCATGAATGTTCTTCTAAATGAAGCCTTTCCTTCCTTCTTTCCTTCCTTCCTTCCTTCCTTCCTTCCTTCCTTCCTTCCTTCCTTCCTTTTTAAAAGAGAGTGTCAGATTCTCTGGTACTGGAGATGCAAATGGTTGTGAGTCACCATGTGGGTGCTGGGAATCAAACATGGGTTCTCTGGAAGAACAGACAGTGAGTGATCTTAACCACCGAGCCATCTCTCCAGGTCTTAAATGAAACATTTTAGTAGCTTTTTGAACTCAATTCTATTTTTAAATTTTCAAGTATTGAGATTAGAGGTGTGCACTGCACACCTGGCTTGTGTGTCCCTTTCTGAGGGTACCATCCTGACTCTCTTATGAGGCTGAGTTTTCAAGCACTGTTTGTATTTCTCAGTACTTAACATAATTGTGGCATGTTTTAAAAATGATTTATTCTAGTTTTAATTATGTGTGTGTCTGTGTGTGTATGTCATGAGTACATGCATGTGTTGTGTGTGTGTGTGTGTGTGTGTGTGTGTGTGTGCACATAGCATAGGTACCTGAGGAAGACTGAAGAGCATCAGATCCCCTGGAGCTGAAGTTAAAGGTGGTCGTGAGCCCCCGGATTGGGTGCTGGGAATTTGTGTCCTCTGCAAGAGCAGGTCTCTTCGCTGCTGAGACAGCCCCACCCTGCATTTATCACTTGTGTCATTATGTTCTAGTGTCTATCTTCCTTGCTAGACTGTAGTCTCTGTGAAGACAGACACCATGCCCCCAGCTCGTAAGACAGTGTCTGGAAGTCATAGTTTCCCAGCAAATACTCATTCACAAAGGAACACAGGGCTGTTTTGCTGGATTCCCATTCATTCACCAACCTCTCTTAAGCACCTGTTGGATGCAGCCCCTGGCACAAAAGGAAAGTGGGAAATCGGGACGCACACATTCAGGAAGCCACTCACACTAGAGGAGTTGGTGTACAGGCAAACGTAACTAGCAGTTGGCCGGAAGTGGAGAGTAGGTATGGTGATAAGGCTGGGGAAGGCAAAGTGTGTGGTTTTCTGTGCTGGTTTCTTTTGTAGTAAACAGAGAGCAAGCCTACTGTAAGTAGAAGAGTCCCAGCCTTCAGAGAAGGTGTGTGTGTGTGTGTGTGTGTGTGTGTGTGTGTGTGTGTGTGTGTGTGTGTGTGTGTGTGTGCCCTCCCCACCTGTAGCTATGCTGGAGAGAGCAGTGAGCACATGATCTGGAGGTGGTCCTTTGACTAGGAAGCTCTCTTGGGATGCCATTCCTCAGTAGACCAGAGTGAGCCAGTAGAAATGTCCATCATTAACCATGAGTGAAACTCCAAGACAAAGAGGGCGATGGGGTCAAAGGACAGTTTCCCTTTTAGCTTCTCTGGTTAATTTCACCTTGAAACTCTTCCCTTGTTCACTAATGGGTGGCTTCCCACCCCATGGAAGAGCATGTGCACGTAAATGCTACCTAACTGGCTTCTGGAATGCCACTGTTCCCCGCGGTCCCTACACAGCCCTCTGAAGTAGGCAGATAGGCATGGCTGACCCCAGAACAGCGAGCTGCAACTTGTCTGCCTTACACAGTACACACGGGGAAGGGATCAGAAGTCAGTCATCCGGTTCACTGCCTCTCTGGAAATCTGGGAGACACGAAAGGAAACCTTAGAACCTGACTCTCCCTCAGTTATAGAGATATATTTAACAGATACCACCAAACATGAGTGACTAACACATGATCAAATTCCTTCCCTCCCTGGGCTCGAGTTGGGTGCATGCTTGTCTATACTCAAAGGCCCTGAGAGGCTGAGAGCATCGTGAGTGTAAACCATGACATGGGCTGCAAAAGAAGAAAACACCCACCCACAAGTAAAACTTCTTTATTTCTCTCTGTTATAACAAGCTAAACGGGCAGGCACGGGGCACCTGCTGCTAACCCTAGCACTTAGAAGCTAGAAGCAGGAGGATCAGGAGTTCAAGTCCTACAGACTAGTGAGTTTGAGACCAGCCTGGACTACATAAAACCCCTCTTCAAATCCCGGCAGGGTGGTGCACCCCTTTCATTCCAGTGCTTCGGAGGCAGAGACAGGCGGATCTCTGTGAGTTCGAGGCCAGCCTGGTCTACAGAGCAAGTACCAGGACAGCCTCCAAAGCTACACAGAGAACCCCTGACTCAAAAAACAAAACAAACAAACAAAAACCCTTATCAAAACATAAAAGAAACAGGTGAGGGGAACCAGAGAGAGAGACAGTCAGGGCTGATGTCACCGTTCCATGAATATAGCAGAGAGTCACACAAGCGTGCTTGCTCTGCTGTGTATGGCTTCCATTATAAAGTTATCTCGTGACCTGTGGTGGCTGCTTTTGTTCCAGTCATTACATCTGCATCCCTGGCAACATAAAGGAGCAGTCTGCTGTAAGAGACCCTCCTGTGTCATGCAGCTGACTACGTCTCATTTGTTAGAGCTGTTAGCTCCATGAGCTGTCGGCTCCATGTGGCTCTCTAAGGCTAAGGCATGCTTCAGGTGTACAATAAACACCAGAGTACAAAGACTGCATGGGAGTAAGAATACAATGACATTTCATTCATTAAACTGTTTTTTTCATTATATTTGGAAATTAGAGTGGGGTATGTAGATTACAATAGGTTAAATAAGGCATAAAAGTATAATAGGATATTATAGCGTAAGTAAAATATATCAGTAAAGTTAATTTGCTTCCTTTTACTTTGCTTTGGTTTTTTGAGGCACAGTTTCTCTGTGTAGCTCTGGCTGTTCTGCAACTCACTATGCAAAACAGGCTGGCTTTGAATTTACGGAAATCTGCCTGCTTCTGCCTCCTGAGTGCTGGGATTTAAGATGTGCACCAACACTGCCTATCTATTCTATTTTACTTTAAAAAAAGATTTAAAATATTTTTCTAGGTATGTGTATCTGCATGTGTGTGTATGCACTTGTGTGTAAGTATCCACCAAGATCAGAAGAGGGCACCAAATCCCTCGGAACTGGAGTGATAGGCAATTGGAGTAGCTAGTGCTCTTAGCAGCTGAGCCATCTCTTCAGATCTGTGTTTCTTACTTGTTTTAAGACAAGACCTTGATCACAGACAAGGCTAGCCTTGAACTCCTGATCCCACCTTTATGTCTCAAGTGCTAGGACAGCACGTCTGGCTGGCCTCCCTTCTTTCCTTCCTTTTTTTGACAGCAACTCATGTAGCACAGCTAGATTTACTGAGGATGTAACTAAGGATGACTTTGAACTCCTGATATATTCCTGCCTCTGCCTTCCAAATTCTGGGATTATAGTTATATACTACCACAACTGACTAAAAATGTATGGAATGCCTGTGGAGGCCAGAAGATGGTGCCAGATCCCCTGTAACGGGAATTACAGATGGTTGTGCACCACTGTGTGGATGCTAGGCGTCAAACCTGGGTCCTCCAGAAGATCAGCCAGTGCTTTTAACTGCTGAGCCAGCTCTCCAGCCTCCCCAAGAATCCCTTTTTAAAAATATGACTACTTGAAAATTGTAAATTACTTTTGATTTCTGTGTGTTATTGTCATATGTGGTACTCGTGGACTCATTTGTGAAAGGTAAAATTAAGTTTGTGAAGTAAGTTCTCTCCTTCCACCTATTATGTGCACCTGGGGATCAGACTCAGGTGGCTAGGCTGGTGGACAAGTGCCTTTACCTGATGAGCCATCTTGCCATCCTTGTGTGTTTTTTTGTTTTGTTTTGTTTTAGTTTTTGGCTTTTTTGAGACAGGGTTTCTTTGTGCTGTTCTGGAACTTGCTTTGTAGACCAACTGGCCTCAAACTCACTGAGATCCACCTGCCTCTGCTTCGTAAGTGCTGGAATTAAAAATATGCACCATCGCCGGGCGGTGGTGGCGCACACCTTTAATCCCAGCACTCGGGAGGCAGAGGCAGGCGGATCTCTGTGAGTTCGAGGCCGGGCTGGACCGATAGCCTCCAAAACAATACAGAGAAACCCTGTCTCGTAAAAACCAAAAAAAAAATATATATATATATATATATATATATATATATATATATATATATATATATGCACCATCACCACCATGCACCTTGTGTGGCTTTAAAAAATATTTATGCTGAGCGTTGTGACACATACTTTTAATCCCAGCATTCAGGAGGCAGAGGCAGACAGATCTTTGTGAGTTCAAGGCCAGCCTGGACTATATACATGGAGAGTTCCAGGCCAGCCTGATTATTAGTGAGACCCTGCTCGGTGGGTTAAGTACTTGCTGTACAAGCATGAAATTGACTTGAGTTTGATTGCCAAAACCTGTGTCAAATCTGGTCATGGCTACACACACCTGTGATTCCAGGTCAGGAGCGGATGAGCCAGAAGGCTTCCTGGAACTCTCTGGCCAACTAGTCTCACAGAATTGATGTATTCTAGGTTCAGTGAGAAACCCTGCCTGAAAATTAATAATAATAATAATAGAGAAGAAGGTAGAAAGTGGTTGAAAAAGATACCTAGCAACGTGGTCTCCACATGCAGACATATAGATGTGTACACACATGTTAACACGTATGAACATGTACACACACACACTCACACACACTACATTAGTGTAGTCAGAATCTAGCTGGGGCTGGGGTAAGCAGATTCAGTGGGGTGGAAAGGCATCTCAGACTAAAGATTGACTTGCAAACACACCCTGGAGCACCCCAGAGCCCTGGGATGAGGGCTGCACTATGTTGGGAAAGCACTTGGAGGAGGACTACCTGTGATACCTGCCTAGGCAGAATTTTGAGGTGGCCACTATCGGGGTGTGGGTGAAGCTGGCCGTGTGTTTGATGTCTCCTCCCCGTGACTCTCCAGGGCGTTGTACTCGGCCTTCAGCATGGAGCTGGCCTCCCGTGGCTTTGTAGTTGCTGTCCTGGAGCACAGGTGAGAGGACAGTCTGGTGAACTGCAGTCAGTTGGGTTCCTGTACAGGCGAGTCCCCGTCAATGCATTGCTTCTTTTTAGTATAGTTTCTGTGCTGGGGCATCAGGCCCACACACATGGGCATCAGACCTACACACATGTGCATCAGACCTACACACATGGGTATCAGACTCACACATATGGCATCAGACCCACACACATGGGCATCAGACCTACATACATGGGCATCAGACCCACACACATGGGCATCAGACCTACACACATGGGCATCAGACCCACACACATGGGCATCAGACCTACACACATGGGCATCAGACCCACACACATGGGCATCAGACCTACACACATGGGCATCAGGCCTACACACATGGGCATCAGGCCCACACACATGGGCATCAGACCTACACACATGGGCATCAGACCCATACACATGGGCATCAGACCTACACACATGGGCATCAGACCTACACACATGGGCATCAGGCCTACACACATGGGCATCAGACCTACACACATGGGCATCAGGCCCACACACATGGGCAACATTTTGTCACTGAACTGTATCTCTCTCCCCAATAACCGTGCAAAGCAGTTATTATACCCATTTAAAAGGGTAGAACACTAAGGTTCAAAGATGTTCAATAGCTGGCTGAACAACACAGCTGACTCTGGGCTCAAACCCAGGCCTGTCCTCAGCCCATGTTTTCTCTGCTCTCCTTTGCATGCCCCCGATCTCCTTACCTGCCAGCCAAGCAGAGAGCCCATGTGTCATGGTTGGAAGGGGGGCGAGGGTAAAGGCAGAAATAAGATCACCATTGTCTTCTTGCTTTCTTTCTGAATGCATCTGTGGTTCAGGGACCAGTCAGCTTCGACCACCTACTTCTGCAAGCAGACCCCACCAGAGAGCCAGCCCACTGAATCCCTGGAGGAGGAATGGATCCCCTTCCGTCGAATCAAGGAAGGGGAGAAGGAATTCCCCATTAGGAATCCCCAGGTAGGCTTGTCATAGTACCATGAATCCCCAGGTTGGCATAGTCATAGTACCATGGTCAGAATGACGAGGGAGGTTTGTGCCCACTGGCATTGTTAATCCCAAAGATAGGAGGAGAAAGATCACCGACCCAAATCATCATGGCCGCATTAAAGCAAGCCATTAATTAAAGCAAGCTTTTTTATTCTAGTACATGGACTGCCTCCTAAGGCAGAGTTCAAGAGGTTAGCCGTGTATATGAGGAAGACAAGGCTCCCCGCCCCCCAGAAAGGGTTTCTCTATATTGTTTTGAGCCTGTCTTGGAACTTGTTCTGTAGACCAGGCTGTCTTTGAACTCACAGAGATCCGCCTGCCTCTGCCTCCCAAGTGCTGGGATTAAAGGCATGCGCCACCAACGCCTGGCAAGACAAAGCTTTTGTAGCTCCTGGGTGGGGATTTCTAAATGGGGGATTTGGCAGGCAAAATAGTCAGGGTTACAGGAACAGAAGTTGGTCCCTTCTGAAACAAAGACATGGTTGCAAGATGAGCATAACAAGGTGTCATGGTCATAACAAAGTAGTCACAAGTTGTCATGCAACCTTTTGAAGCAAAGGTAGGGTTGCAAAAATGGTTATAAACAACTTTTTGAAGTGAAGACATGACTGCCATTTCCTGGAACATGCAGTACTGAACCATTTGCAGTGAAGGTTACAGGTGGGCATAGCCCAATCCTTGAGAAACACGTTTGATCATAACAGGAATAAACCTAGTTTGTCTTTACTATTAGGTGGCTTTTAAGTCTAAGATGGAGGCAGGCTGGTTCTGCAGCACATCCTGGTTCTGGTCATCTTTCTGTCTCTCTGGCAAATAACTGAAGTAATTATCTTACCAGAGCAGCGTTTTTTAGTTATGAGTTCTGGAGATGGCAGCCCAAGGTCAGGTGGACCTATTGCCTCAGCCCCTGGTGAGGGTCCCAGATGGCAGGGGAGGGGGAGTGGGGTATTGGCATCCCATAGTCCCTCTTCAGGGCAGATCTTCAATGACTTAAAGACCTCCCACGGGGCCCCACCTTCTAAAGACTCCATCTTCCAGTTGCACCCCATGGAGACGAGCCAATTAACATGGACCTTCAGTCAACCACAAACAAGACTTTTAATCAACTTCCTCTCTCAAAAGTCTTGGCATAGTGGGTCTGAGCTCACCACATCCATGGGAATAAATAAGGCATAAATCACAGGGCTCTTGAAGGTGACAGAGTCCAGCTTAAGCCTGCCTAGGTAGCAAGGGAGCTGATTGACTCATGTGGGTAGGAGGTAGGGAGAATGAGACCTCTGGGCAGGGGACCAGAGCATCCCTGTCTGCATCCCTGTCTCTGTATGACTCTGGGCAGGGGACCAGAGCATCCCTGTCTGCATCCCTGTCTCTGTATGACTCTGGGCAGGGGACCAGAGCATCCCTGTCTGCATCCCTGTCTGCATCCCTGTCTCTGTATGACTCTGGGCAGGGGACCAGAGCATCCCTGTCTGCATCCCTGTCTCTATATGACTCCCGTCTGCAGGCTGACTTTCTGAGCTCTTGCCAGCTCTAACTGCTGATAACCAACAGCAGGGGACGAGGCTCTGGGTGTTGTCCCCTAGTCCTCCATCCCAGTTTGAAAATTCCTGGTAAAGGATTCTTAGCCTACAGAGAAGAGACAAAAGAAAAATTCTCACCAAAAATCCATTCTTTGGTTGTTGAGATCAGGGTGGGGTGGGGCAGGGCGGGGGCAGTCCTTAAAAAGCAAGGTTAAGGGGAGAAGGGGCGGCAGCCTGTGCTGCCTCATGGGTTTGAGAATAAGAACTCTGGCAGTTCCTTCTGTTGGCAAAATGTTCTCACGTGCATCAGCTCGTATGACCATCCCGATGGCCCTGTGGGGAGGCAAGCGGGCCCACTCTCTGTGTTGTCAGATGTACCTGTGAGGCCTGCAAGGGGGGACCTGCGGTGTTTGCTGAGATGCAGTGGGCCGGCGTCCCCTCCTGTTGGGTTCAGGGGGGCTGAGGTCCTCACTGCGTGGTTGTGGGGTGCTCCCGTAGACTGGCTGTGTTGCAGGTGCACCAGCGGGCCAGAGAGTGCGTGCGGGTACTGCGGATCTTGCAGGACGTCTCCGATGGGAAGCCGGTCCTCAATGTCTTTCCTGGTGGATTGGACCTGATGACCTTGAAGGTATGGCAGCGGTTGGGATGAGCCAGAGCCACACATGCTGCCGAGAGCACCGGGAGACTTCAGACTGGCATAGTGAGACCCAGGGTCTCGGACTGGCAGCTCTGCACCCTTCCGTCCCTTCTGCAAGCTGTGCATGTGTGGCCTTCGTTCTCATCAGATTCCAAGCAAGAGAGGTAGTTGCTAGAAACCCAGGCCTGGTTCTGAACAGCGCCGGAATCCAAAGGAAAAGACTCTTAGCTTCTAGGCTGTGCCTTTGTGTAAATGACACAGTCTGCGTGGCCTGGTCTCTGTGCCAGGGGGAGAGGTTATTCAGGTTGGCCTGCCTCGGCTGTGCCACCTTCCAGGTCACAGGAGCTGGGACACCAGGACTGAGGGTCCCACTCTGCCACATGACTAGAGGGGACAGTTCCTCCCTAAGAGCAGGGTGTTGAGGACCAGTGACCTGTCTACTGTAGGCAAGTAGCCAACAGTACTTCTAAGGGAGTCCCAAGACCCCTCCTAGAGGCCATGACACTGCTCTGGCTATGGACTTGGTGGCTGGGGAGGTACAGTTTCTACCTCCTTGAACTCATGGTGGTCTTCCTACCTTAATCTCCCAAGTGCTGAAGTTACAGATGTGAGCCACCACACTTAGCTAGTTAGAGTCTTCTGTTTTTTTTTGTTGTTGTTGTTTTTTGTTTTCCTGTGTTGTTTTTTTTTGAGACAAGGTCTCATGCACCCCAGGGTGGCCCCAAACTTACTGTGTAGCTGAGATTGGCCTCAAACTCTTGGTCCTCTTGCCTCTACCTCTTGAGTACTGGGAGTTCAGGTTTGCACAACCAGGCACTGCTCATGGCACATTTTTAATTCTCATGTAATATTCCACTGTGTGAATAAGAATTCTGCTGAGTAAGGGCTCCCCACATAATCTCAGGAAGTCAGCATCATTGTCTCTGTACATCAGAGGAAGGCAACGAGTCTCGGCCCCTACAAACAGCACCTAGTTACAAGCGCGGTGGAGGAGCTGGAGAGATGGCTTCTGGTTAAGAGCTTTGGCCGAGGTCTCCTGGAGGACTCAGGGTTGGTTCCCACCCACATGGCAGCTCACACCATCTGAAACTAGTTCCAGGGAATCAACACCCTCTTCTGGCTCCCATGGGCAACAGGCACACGTAGTACATGTACATACATACAGGCAAAATACCCATGCACACAAAATAAAGTTAAAATTAAAAAGGGAGAAAAATGGAGTCAGTTTTAATCTGGGACTTTTGTTCCCAAAGCTAAAGTTTTATGTATCAACATCTGCTTTAAAAATTTTTTAAGGAAGACACATATGCCTGTGTGTGGGTAGACCCTGACTTCTAGTGGGCTTCAGTGACTCTGCTCAGTGGAGAAGCAGGTCCCCCAGTGCTGAAGTCCAGAGCCACCCAACTGAGATCTGTCCAGGTGGATCTCAGAGGAAATACGAAACCAACCAGCTAAGTAAACCTCACCTATGAGACTGAGGAAATCTGAGCATCCATTATCCCCTGTTGACAAGTGTGAAGAAGATGGCCTCTCCCACTGTCTGGAGGAAGGCAGTGTGTTGGGAGCTATCAGCCGCACAATGTATGCTCCTTCCTTCCTTCCTTCCTTCCTTCCTTCCTTCCTTCCTTCCTTCCTTCCTTCCTTCCTTCCTCTTTTTTAATCTAGAAGTTTCCAGTCTGTGGATTTTCCCTGTATGAGCTGCATTGTTCCAAAGAGCAAACAGTTGGGAGGAGCTAACATGTTCCTCTGAGAGGAATGCTAATTGCTAGGGCACCTAGACCCCCTCAGTGGCTTCATCCAATAGAAATGTCTCTTTCTTGTGTACCGCCCACAGGGTACTCTGGTGGTGGTCCAGGGATCCAGGCTCCTTTCAGAACTGGGATTGAAGCTAGACTTTTGCTCATGCTGTTAGCTAGGACTCAGTCACACGGAACTGTAAAGAAATGATCTAGCGACGTGTCTGGGGACAGATTTAGTGAGCAGCCAGCTGTGTGTTTCCGAGTGAAGTCAAGTGCAGTCACAGAGAAGGACAAGGCAGTCTCTGTACTAATACTGCTACACAGAGACACGCGCTGGGGGAGCACCTGTTGGAGAGGGGCCGTGTGCACTCCTGTTTACTTGTCTGTTCAGTGACAAACTCTTCAAGAACACTGAAGAAACTGTCACCAATTGGGAGCAGAAAGCAGGCAGCTGGTGGAAATCAGGCCTCTAGGGGTGGGAGGTTTCTCTACAAACCTGAGTTTGGAGGTATGTAAATAGTCACTTACATTTTAAAAGCTAAAGGAGCCCCCGACTGCTGCCGCCCCAGGTGCCTCTCTTAGCCAAGTCGGAGAATGGATGCCCACCCTGGGCTAGATGTTGAGGCGAGCAGGGCTTCTGAGCCAGAGTGTGGCGGCGCACAGAGCCTGGGAGACTTCCCAGCCCCTTAGTAGACATCGGTGGTGGCTTTTTATAGAACCATGCCCTGAAGGCTTCTGGGAACAACCAGAAATAGATACTTATGGAGCCATCAGAGCACAGAAATCCTCCCTGGGCTGTGGATAAAAATCAGGACAGACACACAGAGGAAGTAGAACCTGACTTGCTTTCTGCACAAGCAGCCCTTACTCCAGAGCAAAACTTGGGGGGAGGGCAGCGGAGTTCCCTGTGCTCCCCTCTGTGTGCTCTGTGGCAACCTGGAGGACCAGCTTGTGAGCAGGAACTGTTCCCAGCCGTCCTAACACCGCGGCCCTTTGATACAGCTCCTTGTGTTGTGGTGACCCCCAACCATAAAATTATTTCACTGCAACTTCGTAACTGTAGCTCTGCTACTGCTATGAATCGTAATGTAAATATTTTTGGAAACCGAGTGTTGTCAAAGTGGTCATGACCCACAGGTTGAGAACCACTGCTGAAGGGGAATGCTTCTCAGTCCGCTTTTTAGATGAGCTGTGGAAGCCAGGAAACTCATCTGTTGGGGTGCTCACAGACATTTGAAAGCCAGCTCTCAGAAGATGGTAGTGTTAGCAGGGGGATTACAGAAGTCAAGATGAGCCAGGGTGGTGGCACACACCTTTAATCCCCGCACTTGGAGGCAGAGGGAGGGGATCTCTGAGTTCGAGGCCAGCCTGGTCTACACAGTGAGTTCAGGCTGGTGAGGAGTACATAGCGAGACCCCGTCTCACAGAACAGAAACAGAAAGTCCAGGTGAAAACACCGTCCCCTGAAGGCTGTTCACACCGAAGATCAGCTGGCGACAGAGAGTCCTCTTTCTCTCTCTCTCTCTCTTTTTTTTTTTTTTTTTTTTTTTGGTTTTTACGAGACAGGGTTTCTCTGTATTGTTTCGGAGGCTATCGGTCCAGCCCGGCCTCGAACTCACAGAGATCCACCTGCCTCTGCCTCCCGAGTGCTGGGATTAAAGGCGTGCGCCACCACCGCCTGGCCTCTTTTTCTCTCGTTGCCATGCTGGGTATCAAACCGGTAGCCCTTTTTGTGCCAAACATGTTCGAGTTACACCCCAGAGATACCTTTTTGTTTTGGGTTTTTTTTGGTGACAGTGTCTCACTGTTTAGCCCAGGCTGGGCCTGAACTTGCCATCATTATGTCTTAGAACTACACTTGATCACAACGGTGTGCCGCCTTACTCCAGCCGGAGGCTCAGATGGTGCAGTCTCGGGTGGCATCATAGCCGCACGTCGTTTTCCTACAGTCGCTTCTCTGTCTCCTCGGCTAAGTTCCCTGCTTTCCTCAGGGCAGCATCGACATGAGCCGCGTGGCTGTGATGGGACACTCGTTTGGAGGCGCTACAGCTGTTCTTGCTTTGGCCCAGGAGGTCCAGTTTCGGTGAGTACCGGAGATGCTGCTGTCATTGGACTTCACACACCATTCATTCATTCATTCATTCATTCATTCACTCACTCACTCATTCAGCAGGGATGTGTTACACAGGATCGTGTTCTGAACACTGTTTGATGGGCTGGGGATTCAGTGATCAGCTAAACAAGGTCTGACTTCGAGAGACTGTGTTATTGGGGGAGGAAATTGACTAGCAAATTCTTAGCTTTTTTGCGGTGGCAGGGGGTATTTCGAGACAGGGTTTCTCTGTGGTTTTAGAGGCTGTCCTGGAACTAGCTCTGTAGACCAGGCTGGTCTCATACTAACAGAGATTCCCCCCCTGCCTCTGCCTCCAGAGTGCTGGGTTTAAAGGCGTGAGCCACCACCACCAGGCAAATTCTCAGAAAATAAACAAGCCAAGGACATGATGTGCACACCCATATCTTTGCACTCTGGAAACTGAGGCAGGAGGATCACAGTTCAAGGCAAACCTAAGCAAGACCCTATCTTAAAAAATAGAATAAAATGAAAAAACCATTAAAGGATTTTAAGCAGAGAACAGTCAATCTTAGATTTTAAAAAGCCCCCTGGCTGCTGTGTGATGGAGCAGATGAGCTTGAAGGGCTTGGGGGATGCGGTCGTGTCAGCAAAACTGAGAGACGATGGATTTGCATGAGGGTGGAGGTGGAGGATGGTGAGCATGGATGGAGTCAGATGCAACTGAGCTGCTGAGGGTTAGCAACGACTATAAGAGCAAGGAAAGGGGACGTGACTGTCATTACAGTGGAAGGTGACTGTCCCCTGCTGAAAAGGAGAAAATGGAGTGTCAGTATCACAGTACCAAGAAAGCTTGTAGGGTTCTCTGCCTCGCAGGCTCTAGTCCCACACACCAGAGCTCTGAGCTATGGTTCTGATACCTTCAAAGTATCTCGCTCTCCCCTGCTGTCCTGGGAGCTCCTGGGATGTACGGCCTTTCTCATTGATCTCTGCATCCAGAGGGCTAAGGCCACAGTAGCCACTCGGTGAGTATTGAATGAATTGAGAGATTAAATGAATGAGGTGACATTCTGCAGAACTAGAGTGCGTCACCTGAGGGTAGATCGAGGGAAGAAAATCTGACCCTTGCTCTGAGGGAGTAAAAATTCTAGAAGGTTCTTTGGGGACAGGTAACAGGTACTCCTCCGTAAGATCGTAATAGGAGGGTGTGGGTCCTGGCTTTCTGAGTTGTCAGCCCATTGGAGAGAAAGGTCCCTTTCAGTTCTCCTCTACCAAATGCATTCTTACCCGAGTTTCTTAGTGACAGCTCCAAATGTCTGCCTTATCCCAGGTGTGCTGTGGCCCTGGATGCTTGGATGTTCCCTCTGGAACATGACTTTTACCCCAAGGCCCGGGGCCCTGTGTTCTTCATCAATGCTGAGAAATTCCAGACAGTGGAGACCATCAACTTGATGAAGAAGATATGTGCCCAGCATGAACAGTCCAGGATTGTGACTGTCCTGTAAGTATGCCCCAAAGCAGGACCCAGTAGCCTGTCTGTTTTTTAATCAGCTGGGACCCCCTTCATGTCTTCTAGGTTATCTAGAATTTTCTGTATATTCACAGAACATCTGAATATTGCCAGAATCCCCATATCATAATTCCTATAGGATTTTATATGTCTCTCTTCTCCAATGAGCCCCATCCACAGAGATTGCTTCTACAGTTTGTGTAGCTGTGTGATAGGATTTACTTAGTAATTTCTGGAAAATGGATGTGTTGGGTCTGGGTGGATTCCTGTCATCTCTAGCCTCCTATGGGAATTTTACTATTTTTTGAAGACTTGGGTAGCATATGCTTTGACAATTTGGGTGGATTTGTGGAATGTCCGTGGATATCCAGTTCACAGAGGTTATCCTAACAGGCTGAGCCTGTTGATGCATGCTGGTAATCCGAGCACATAGGAAACTCAGGCGGGGGATGGAAAGTTCAAGGCCAACCTGGGTGTCAGCATGAAACCCAAACCAACCCACTTATATGCTGGCCAAATAACCCACATTGTCTTCACCTGATCGCTGCACAGTAGTCGCTGCACTTTCTGTGACGGATGTTTTCTCTAGAGCAACAGGGTTTCACAGCTTAAGCCACGTGGGAGGCATGTGGCACTCAGGCAGGCCTGAGCCCTGCCCCGGGTAAGCCAAGCAGCCACGCACCAGTGTCTACTTCAGAAAGCACAGCTAGCCATGCATTATGTGCCTTGGGAATCATCTAGGCAATTGAGTTTATGCCATGCCAAGCCCCCGAGCGGTGGCTTCAGTGGTGACTTCTGAGGGTTCCTCTCCTGCCCATCCTGACCCAGTCCCTCCTTTCATTTTGATTTTGAGGTCTTGAGGGACAGGACTGCAAAAATGTTTCCCCAGGCCAGTCATATTCGGTCACTTGTGATCTGTAGGGAAGGGACAGGGCACACAAAAGGAATTTAACTATAGGCAATATAGTATCGTTTCAAAAATATTTTTATGACTGAATACCTTTAATCCGAGCACTCAGGAGGCAGAGGCAGGTGGATTTCTATTGAGTTCAAGACCAGCCTGGTCTACAGAGTGAATTCTAGGACAGCCAGAGCTACATAGTGAGACCCTGTCTCAACCCACCCCCAATATTTTTAAAGATTTATTACTTTTATTTATTTATTTATTTATTTATTTTGGTTTTTACGAGACAGGGTTTCTCTGTATTGTTTCGGAGGCTATCGGTCCAGCCCGGCCTCGAACTCACAGAGTTCTGCCTGCCTCTGCCTCCCGAGTGCTGGGGTTAAAGGCGTGCGCCACCACCGCCCAGCTACTTTTATTATTTTATGTGTATGAGTGATTTCCTGCATGTATGTATCTGATACCCATGGGCCAGAAGAGGGTGTTGCCCTCTTAGACCTGGAGTTACAGGCTGTTGTGACCTGCTGTGTGGGTGCTGAGAGTCGAACCTGAGTCCTCTGCAAGAACAAGTGTTTTTAAGCACTGATCCATCTCTCCAACTCCAGTATGTTATTTTTTAAAATCTAGTGCTGGATATTCAAGAATCCAGTGCATTTTTCATTCTACACATACTTTTTTCATGTGCCTTAAATAGTACATTAAAAAATCAGTCTTGGGTTGGTAAAATAACCCAGCAGATAAAGACAACCTGCCATGAAGCCTGAATGTGGAGTTCTGTTGCTGGGACCCACAGCACACACGCGTGTGTACGTGTGCGCACACACACACACACACACACACAGACATATATATTGAGACAGATACACAGCACGCGCACGCGGACACAGACACACACACTCTGCACACAGAGAGATTCACAGATACACACACACACACATAGACATATATACTCGGACAGACACACAGCCGCGCACAGATTCACACATGCACCAATAAATAAATACATTTATTTTTTAAAAATGTTTTCCCACATATTAGGTATTTCAGCATTTAGATTTTCCACGTCACATTCATTTGCATTATGAGTAGTTTAAGTCAGTAGGTGTCCGTGGAGTATTTCCGCTGTGAATTAAATATGTTTACAGGGCTCGGGAGCAGAAGGCCCTGGTCAGTCTCCACTACCACAAATGAATGAGTGAATGAACGAATGATCTGATTCATTTACAACCAAACGGCTTAATCCAGAGCCCATTTTTCTGTGCTCTCCCTGCTGTGATTGTTTAACTAAAAGCAGTTGTTTTCTCTCTCTGTTGACATCATGGCACAGTTCTGGCAGTGAGGTTAAATGTTTCATGGCCTTGGGGTCCCTGGATAAAAGCTGTGATGTAATAGGAATGGCTGGGGTGCTTCAAGGTGCCTAAAAATGGCCCAAAGTTACCCGTTAGGGGGGTTTGCCTTCCTTCCCTGTAGTGTCAGGCATGGTGACCTAGACACTGAGGCAGGCACAGCCAGGCACACCTCGGTTCAAATCCTAGCTCTGTCCAGTGTCACTTCGTTCTTCTCAGACTCTATCACAGGGGAAAGTACTTCCCCAATAAGGTTGCTGGGAGAGTTACCCAAGACTCACGGGCAGCACCTTGTACGCAGTAGGCGCACACACATGCCTGAACTGGGTGCACACGTCCTGACTCCACCCTCCTACCGGCTGTTTCTCTTTCTCTCCAGGGGAGCTGTTCATCGGAGCCAAACTGACTTTGCCTTCGTGACCGGCAACCTGATTGCTAAATTCTTTTCCAGCCACACTCGTGGGACCTTGGACCCTTACGAAGGTCAGGAGGTTATGGTGCGGGCCATTTTGGCCTTCCTGCAGAAGCACCTTGGTAAGGAGACAGCTGGGGCTTAGGGAGCACACATGGGGCCCCTTGGGTGTCCTGTAGCACTGGCATGACGAGGACCCAGGAGAGTCATGGCAAATGGAAGCTTGACACAGCAGCACAGGAAAGTCACTTACTGAAGGTTTGCCCAGCGAGGCCCTGACTTGGCCTGGTCACCTAACCTTCCCGAGCCATGGTTTCCTCACTGTGACAGTACCTTTGCCTCTCTTCACTCCGCCACCTTGGCCCCCAAACTTACCATCACTTTGTGCATTGTGGGCTCTTAATGATAATAATTGGACAAATTTTATGTAAGTTTTTTTTAAAGAAACCAAAAATGGAAGGATTGTGACCAATATCATAAGTCACAGACCAGCTAAATGAGTGGCAAAGCCTTTTGAGGTCACTACCCGGAGAAGCTGGGAATTTGGATGTTTGAAGTGATCTCGGTGTTGCTGAGATAGCTCTGTGGGTAAATGGTGCTTGTGTCATAAGCCTGAAGACCTGAGTTCAATCCCTAGAACCTACACAAAAGTACAAAGAGAGAACGGACTCCACAGAGTTTCTTCTGACCTGCACACGCTTTCATGCACAAATATACAAATATTGCAAAAAGAAAGCTAATGGTCTAATTAAAGCTTTTTAGTCCACAAAGACTAGAATTTTATTTTACCTCAAGGGGAAACAAGTGAACTGGGTGGTGGTGGCGCACACCTTTCATCTCAGCATTCAGGAGACAGAGGCAGGTGGATCTCTGTGAGTTCCAGGTCAGCCTGCTTGACATAATTAGTTCTAGGACAGCCAGGGCCATTACACAGAGAAACCCTGTCTTGAAAAACAAACAAACAGAAACAAAAAACAAAAGAAAGGAAGGAAGGAACTCGGAAGTTTGTTTATGAGGTGTGCCTGGACCCAGTGAGTGACAGAGTCAAGGGATCATTGCAGGACGGTTGTGTTTGTTGGGTTTGTTGTGTTTTTCTCTGCTCCACAGGCTCAGTATGTGTCTTCCTGTTTCCTTGTCTTCCTCTGCCTCTTTCATTCTCTTGTTTGTTTGTTTTTCGAGACAGGGTTTCTCTGTGTAGCTTTGAAGCCTATCCTGGCACTCCCTCTGTAGACCAGGCTGACCTCAAACTCACAGAGATCTGCCTGTCTCTGCCTCCCGAGTGCTGGGATTAAAGGCTTGCGCCACCAACACCCGGCTAAGCCTCTTTCATTCTTTCTGTGCTCTTTTTTTCCTACCCTGAAGCGTCTGTTTGTTCAGTCTCTGCTTCCTCAGAACTTGGTTTAGCTTATGCCACCAGCGACTGGTTCTTTCTCCTGTGGGTTCAAGCTCTGCTATTCACAGTTGTACCTGGTGGGTAACTTTGGGGGTAGTGACTTCATTTTATTTGCTTATGTATTTACTATGATTATTTCTTAATATTAGATTCCCAAGAAAGGTACTTGGTTGTGTCAGCTCACATATACATGCACGCACATACATACTCACCCCCCACACATACACACTTGCCTGGACCACTAAGGCTTGAATTGTAATCTAACAGCAAGATCTGATATCTTACTACACACACACACACACACACACACACACACACACACACACACACTTGCCTGGCCCACTAAGGTTTGAATTGTAATCTAACAGCAAGATCTGATACCTTACCCCTCAACACACACACACACACACACACACACACACACACACACACACACACACACACACTTGCTCTGAATGTCCCAAGAGCTGACCAGAGAAGCCTCAGGTAGCCATGGCAGCTCTTTTGTTATTTGTGGTCACCTCTGATGTGCTCTGTTCATTAATCTAATGGCCATGGGACCTTCAGTGATTCCTTGTTCAATTCCCCCATGCACTCTGTTACCACTTTCCTTTGAGTGCAATTTGTCAGTGCCTCTTTTAAAGAGAGGTGTCCTGACTGGAACACACTACCCTAGACATGGTCTGGGCTGCACCTGGCCCAGCAGGAGCCTCCCCTCTGTGCTCAGGACCCGGGTCTTCCCCTGCATAGCCTGGGTACATTCATGTTTTCCACAGTATGTGCAACCCATCTGGTTCGGGTTGTGCTTATGTTTATGATATGCCTGTTCTACTAAGAGTGCATTGCTGCTATGAGCCAAACTTGCATTTCTGTTTATGTTTGCTCATTTACCTTGCAAATTATGAGCCAAGAACTGTTCCAGCATGAGTTTAGAAACTTGTAGGGGCTCACAGAGACACACCCTTTCTCCTGACAAAAAGGGGTGGCGCCACCCCCAAGACTTGAGTGGTTCCTGCTCCCTGGTCCTCAGCTGCACCTACTGTTTCCCCTAGGCACATGTCCTTATAGGAGTCCAAGATTAAAGATGACAGAGCAGGCTGGGAGTGGTGGCACACATCGTTAATCCCAGCACTTGGGAGGCAGAGGCAGGTGGGTCTCAGTGAATTTGAGGTCAGCCTGGTCTACATAGAGAGTTCTAGGCCAGCTAGGCCTCTGTCTCAAAAGAAAAGAAAGGAAAACCTTGAAGGTGACAAGGGAGCCTGCAATGGTGTGACCAGCTCCCTTTGGTAGCAGACAGTTAAAGGGAGGTGGCAGGAGTCATGACTGGAGGAAGCTTGCTGGAGATTTAGTCTGCCTATGTCGAGGTCACTGCTGTAACCAGTACTTGTCACACTCAGTACTCTAGAGTCATTGTCTATCATGCCGGATTCTGGAGGTGGCCCTTTCCAGTAGTTTTTTTTAATTTAATTTATTAGCTTCCTTTTTTCCAACTGAATATATTAAAGCTTAGAAGAGGTCGGTAATCTATAATTTGTTCAAGGTTATCTGGTTCTGGTGACAACGCCAGCACGCAGCCCCACAGCCCGTGCCCTTCACTGGTGAGCCGCAGTGTCGTGGTACACACAGTGTCTTTGACCACAGGCTGCTTAGGAGGACCCCAGGGATAGACCTGACTGGAATGAAGGAAGAACATCCAGGGAAGGGTCTGCCTAACAAGGCCTTCTCACTTTGGTCTTGACTGATGAAGAGAGGCCTTAGTGAAGGAAGGGACAGGGGTCTTCCCTGGTAGTGTTGAAGAGGGAAGGGGAGAAGTGGGCAGAAGTCAGGAACAGCGGCCCATAGGTTTGCTGAGGGGGGGTTGGGAATCTGACACCTCAGTCTGTGAGGAGTCTGCTCTAGGTTCTAGGCAGGAGAATGGCATGGTTGGACAGGCTTGCAGTCTGGATACATGTAAAGGATGGTGAGTCAGAGAGTTGAGAACCAAGAGTGTGTGTAGCATGGAGGCTCTTGTGGTAACCCAGGGGTAGCATGGAGGCTCTTGTGGTAACCCAGGGGTAGCATGGAGGCTCTTGTGGTAACCCAGGGGTAGCATGGAGGCTCTTGTGGTAACCCAGGGGTAGCATGGAGGCTCTTGTGGTAACCCAGGGGTAGCATGGAGGCTCTTGTGGTAACCCGTCTGAGAAGAGAAAGCAGAATCTGAGTGAAGACACTGTATCTTTACCAACTGGCTTTACAAAGAAAAGAAGCTTCTAGGCGCTTTGTCACTAGGGAACTAAATAGGCCAGAGGTGGCTCAGCATCACCTCTCAGTGCTTGCCTAAGCCTCCAGAGCACAGCCGTGATGCTGCCTTCCCAGTGAGGTCCCACCCCTTCCTGCTGACTACCCACACCTCCTCTTCCTTCTCTCTGCCCCCACCTGCCCTCCTGGAAGGTCTCACTCCTGTTGTAATTTAAGAAAAGCAGCACATGAGAGAAAGACAGGGTTCAGGCAGAGGTTTTTTGTTTTTGTTTTTCCCTAGGGAAAGGGTAATCATAAAAAGGGGGAACTGGAGGGAGGAGACCAGCTTCAGAGGACCGGAGCAGCAGGAGAGAGGAAGGAGGGGCAGGGCAGGGGCAGACAGACAGGGAGAGGGAGTCAGGGAGAGAGAGACAGAGACATAGAGAGACAGAGAGAGAGACAGAGACAGAGACAGAGACAGAGAGAGACAGAAACAGAGACAGAGACAGAAAGAGAGGATGGGAAGTGGGCAGGGCCCATAGGAGGTGCTCTTAGTAGCTGCAGTTGAGGGCGTATCCTTTCAGAACCCCAAGGACAGACCAATACAGATGCCTGAATACTAACAACTCCCCCTCTTCCTCCCAACGCCTCCTCTTCCTCCCCACATCTCCAGTACCTCCTCCTCAGATCTGTCTCTTGCTGAATGCCTCTGTCTCCCACTTTGCTCAATGGAAGCTACAGCACTTCCACGGCCTCTCAGGGCCTGCCTGTGTAGGCCCAGCTGTCCAGACTCCTGGAGCTCCCACCCCAGCTGCCTGGGGGGCCGCCATACCCAGTCCTTTGGGTATCCCAGACGTTCCTCTCTGTAGGATGCCCCAGGGACCCCGTGGAAGCTTCTGTGACCTGCTCTGCAGTGGTTTGCCTAATCCTGCTTCCTGTTTGTGCCATGCAGACCTGAAGGAGGACTATGATCAGTGGAGCAACTTCGTTGAAGGCATCGGACCAGCGCTCATCCCAGGGGCCCCACACTATCTGTCCAGTCTCTAGCAACAGATGGTCACTTGGAGGTCGCTCCAGCTGAGCTTCCAATTAGGAGCTGCCCATGGATTCTTTTCACAGATTGAGAGGATGTAATCAGACTGCTGATTGGGCGACTGGGCCCTTTGCTCTTGGAATCGTTGATCTTAAACCCACCTCAGAACAGAGTGCATCTCACTGACTGATTGAGAAGCTGAATTTAATTTTTTTTCTTTTAGTCAAGGACTCATATCCCAGACTGGCTTTGAATTTACTGTGTGAGGATGACCCTCCTTCTAAGGGTCACTATGCCTGGTCTTTATTCAGTGCTGGGGATCAAACCTGACTTGAGTTGATGACTATGAGGTACCCCCACTGCCCCCATGCCCCACACTCCCCAACTGCCCCCACTGCCCCCACACCCCACACTCCCCAACTGCCCCCACTGCCCCCACAAACTCCACACCCAGTATTTTTGGTGTCCAGGTGCTAATCTCAAGGAAATCCCATGAATCCATGGTAGCTACTCTGACCTGACCTTACCGTGGTTTACCTGTAAAGGTCAGGCCACTATAGTAATTGAGCCACATCCCCAGTCCTTGGCAAGCTAACTTTCTGAGGCTGAGCCAAGAGAATAAGGCGCAGGGTGGGACTGGCAGAGACCGAGACCCATGGAGCCTGAATGTGAAGACTTGACTGGGTGAGCCAACTGCCTCATCGGGGGCTAGTGTTGCCTCTTGAGTGCAAGCCATGATGCCAAAGGCCAGAAGGGGAACCTTAGGGCCTCCAGCCCTGCCTGGTATTCTCCACCTGCCCCCTGGTGAGGTACAAACACTAGGTAACTCTCTGGTTTCCCACTGTATGAGAAACAGTAATGGGCACTTCGTTCTGTTATACTTAGGAGCCCATGTGGGCAAACAGTATTGTCCTCAGAACACAGAGAAGGACATAAACACAAAGGAGTCCCTCAGAAGCTAAGTGCCTTTGAGGTTTTGCAAATATATCTTGTCAGGAAACACCCTCAGGAGGGACAGGTGTGCAATATTAATGAAGCTGGGCCACCATTTGCACAGGCCACAGAGAGCACTGGGTTGGCCAGCCCAACTTCGGGAATGTTCCTAGAGGGGTCTGAGATCAGCATGGTCTTGCCTTTTCTCCTGTGCCATGAACCCCCAACTAGCTCCAAATATGGGTGCTTTTGTCATCTGGTGTTTTTATTTGTGTATTTTTTGAGGCCCAAATTTAAGTCAAGAAATAGAT